TGAGCCTAGGAGTTGGAGGTTGCTGTGAGCTGTGATGCCACAGCACTCTACCCAGAGGGACAGCTTGAGGCTCTGTCTCAAAAAAAAAAAAGAACTCCTTTTGGCATACAGTTCTAAGAGACTCGACAAACAGAATCACATTACCACTACCATAACAAAGATACAGAATAGTGACCTCCTTACTCTCCCGACAAATTCTCTGGAGCTACTTCTTTGGAGTCAGACCCTCCCAATCCTCAACCTCTGGCGACCACTAATTTGTTCTCCATCACTATAGTATTGCTTTCTTCCGACTGCCATAGATGGAACCACACGACACTCAGCCTCTGAGGCGGGCTGTTTTGCATTTGCTGTCCATCTGTGTGGGGTCAGTGCGGCTGCATAGCGTTACTGCTGCATAGCGTTCCATTGGATGGAAAGACCAGTGTTTGTTTATCTATTTTCCGGTTGGGTTGTCTCCAATTTTTGGTGATTATGAATAAAAGCACTATGAATATTTGTGTGTTTTGTGTAAAGATAGTTTTTTATTTTACTTGGGTAAATACCCAGGAGTAGGACTGCTGGGTCATATGGAAAGTGTGTGTTTAACTTTATAAGAAACCGTTCACCTGTTTTCCAGGCGCTGTACCATTTTGCAGTCCCACCAGCAATGCATGAAGGTTCCTGTTGTTCCACATCCTCCCCCATATTTGATACTGTCCGTTGTTTTAGCCATCCTAATAGATGTGCAGTGATGTCTCTGTGGTTTTAGTTTTTGCATTTCCCTAATAACCAAGGATGTTGAACATCTTTTCCTCTTCAATTATCTTTTATAAAACAATTTCAGTGCTTTTTAATGCAGTAATGCAGTGGGAATTAACAACATCATATTTCCAGTATTTTTGTTCTGTGTGACCTTGCCTGTCTGTTAAACACGGGTGGGAAGATTGACTTATCCAGCCTCCTTCATGTAGAAGTTTATGGGCTATCTCCTGGGCATAAGCTGGGCCATCAGAGTTTTTAGGAGGCTGTGGGAATGTTGGAGCTCCCTTTTATAATTCTTTAGAAAGAAGCCTCCTCTTTTCAAGGACTGCTGCAGCCTACTCTCTAATTCATTTGACCTTGACCTTGCTGATGGTAGGAGGTGGGGCGTGGGCCTGGGCTCTGAGGGGCTGTGTGCCCCCAGGTCATCCTACCTTGCCATACCACAGGTAGTGCTCTGCCTGAGTCTGCAGCAGAAAAACGTCATTGGAGTTCAGGGAGGAGGCAAAGGCTGGAACCTCCACTGCTTTGGTGTTAGATTTGTCATTTCCTTGAATCTGGAAAAGTCTTACTGGAGGGTCTGGCTCGGCATTTCCTTTCCTGGAAGTCCCACCCTGGAGAGAAGAAAAGCAGAGCCTGAATCTGAGGGGCACCTTGTGAGCAGAGCCCTAGACTGGCCATGGTGGGGATGTGGGTGTTCCTACACCGTCTTTGCCCTGGGGGAGCTTCTGGGCTAACTGGGAAGGGTGAGGGTGGGCTGAGGTTACGGTACCAGTAGGGTTAGCATTCAGTCTGAGAACACTCCTGTGTCAGGCTCTGTGCCTGGTGCTATCCCTACATCATTTCATGGATCCTCGTGACAGCTCTGTGAAGTGGGTCATTATCCCACAGCACAGACGTGGAAACTGACACCTAGAAACCTGGCTAACAAACCACAAGACCAAGACTTGACCCCTGACTTGTGTGACGTCAGTCAGCACGTGACATTATGCATTGCCTGGCAGTGCTCTAGCCAGGGCTTCGTGGAAGAAGTGGGGCTGGAGTTCCAAGCGGCATGTTCGCAAGGGGAAGGGTGTGGTATGGTGTGTGTGAGGCCTGTGGGGAGTCTGGTGAGCTGAGGGCAGTGTGCCTGCACAGATAATACGGGTCAGATAATGAAAGACCTTGAACATGAGTTAGTGGTTCAGACTTGTAACCTTAGGCAGTCAGGAAGCACTGAGTGTCTTAGAGCCATCACCCCCCTTCTTGTCTCTGATCCAAGCCCTGCTCCCCGCCTCACCCTCCTCTCTTCTCCCTGCTAGTTTGTTTGTTCTGAGCCCCCCTGTGTACAGGCGTAGTTCATCTAGGAGCCTTACCTCAAAGATAACCAGCTTCCCCTTGAAGATGGCCATGAAATGGCGTGGCTCCTTCCCCATGCTGACCCGGACCTGCACGGCGGCCCCCCCAAACTGCCCATCCACTTCCACGGCCTGGTATGCCGAGGCTGCCAGCTCATCCTGGGAGGCGTGGCGGCCCTGCAGGGTTGAGAGGGGGAGTGACGGACTCTGCTTTCACCCCAGCCCAGCTGCCAGAGGAAGCATTAGGATCCGCCAAGATTCGGGCCCACCTGCCAGATGTACAGGACGTAACGCAGCTTCCCGGTCACCTCATACGTGTAGAGGACCAGATAGCAGTCTCCCCCGTAGAAGAAGCCATACCACTTACGCTCCACAGGGACCAGCTCTAGGTTCTCTATTCTCCAGACCTGGGCATAGGGGGAGACACAGTTTCCCAGAGATGAGGGCCCTGGAAGAGACTGGGACGTGCTAAACAGAGAATCCAGTTGGGGAAGGTGCTAGCACCACTCAAAGTCCCCTTCCCCCTTTGGTTCTTACTCAGTGGTGACAGCACATCACATTTGCATGATTTGAATCCTGAAAAGAACTTGGTTTTCCTGGCCAGGTGCATCTCATCATGTCTCCATCTTTGCAGACTGAGCAATGATCAGAATGTATCTGCCAGGTGAGTTACTGATGGCAAATTGCCAACTGCCCTGAATTTGAATCGTTGGTCTTACCTCAACTTTCCCATTGCCATCATCCACCATTCTTTCCTGGGCGGCTACCTCTGGCTTGGTGTGCAGCAGACTCACATCAAACTTATCCTGGAAAACTTTGGCTGCAGGGAAGGGGGTGGGAAAAGCCGAGTGAGTGAGAAGCATCTATACCTGCCCTTGTAGAGCCCCAGCAGTGAGAGGGCAGTCTGGGGGCAATCTCACCAATTTTTCCAATGGTGAATGTTTTCCCCAGGCCCGTGCTCTGGTCCTTCACTGACCACTTCTGGAACAGCTGCTTGAACATAGCTGACTCAGCACCATCGTTGACCGTCTCCACGTTGGTGCTGCTGGGGTAGCCCTTCATCTTGATGAAGCCCTGCAGGATCCCCCCACAAAGGCGGGACAGTGAGGGAGCACCCTGCCCTTGACCGGCTGGCAATTTACCTCTGTGAAGCCAGTTAGCAGGATCCCTTCCCTCTGGGAGTCAGAGTCAAAGTCTAACTGACCTCTGTCTAAGCACCAAGTTCCCTGTCTCAAAAAGTGACTGAGTGCCACAACTTGGCGTCTCTTTAATGACCTGTCATGATTTTTATCAATTTTTTTGCAAGATACTGTGCTCTTTCAGCACTTTGTACTCTACTAACTGCATTTGTTTGCTCACTTACTGCTTTGTAAGTGCATCTACTTGGTTCATCTGCGTGGGTCTGCACGAATACCATAGGCATCTTGAGGACAAGGCCATTAACCTTGACATCCCCTTTGATAATAACAGGCACCTTTTACTGAACAAGTGGTATGCGCCAAATTCTGTTCTGAATGTTTTACAGAACAAGTGGTGTGTGCCAAATCTGTTCTGAATGCTTTTTAATCCTTACAACAACCTTGGGAAATAGGTTTTATCTCCATGTTAAAGATGAGGAGACTGAGGCTCAGGGGTGTTAAGTGGTCTTCCCAGAGTATTCAGCCGGAGAAGGCAAAACCTGGCTTTAAACCCAAGTCTGTGTGACTTCCAAGTCCATAGATGGAACTGCTATGTTATATACTCCAGTACCTAGTATGCTCTCTGAAGTGACATTGGAAGGGGAAGGGTGACTGGCAGAATTATCTGGATAATATTGCACATCTATAGCTCCTACCAGGGCTTTAGACATAGCCGCCTGCCTCTCAACCTTCGTGGCTCCTTTTCCTTTCCACACATAGATCTTGGTTCCACCTTGGTCCAGGATGTAGCAGTCCTGAAGCAGTCAGGGATAAATGTGGTTACTCGTGACCAGAAGGAAGGACTTTGCTCAGGGTCTGCTTCTGAAGCCGGGTCGGGTCTGCCCCCGCAACCTCGCACCCCCGCCACAGCTCTGCTTACATCGCGGTTCAGTAAGTCCTGGACCAGAGGTCTCCCTGCTACCTCTGTGACTGCCAGCTGCCCAGATGAGTCTGACACGCTGCAGAAAGGGAGAGATTAGCCTGGCCTTTTCTCCTACCAAGCGTCTTACAGTCAAGTCGATGACTTTCCTGCCTTTGTTTTAGTGTGGAGTTTATGGGTAAGGTAGGGTTTGAATTCTTTTTTTTTTTTCAAGACAGAGTCTCACTCTGTTGCCCGGGATAGAGTGCTGTGGTGTCATAGTCCACAGCAACCTCAAACTCTTGGGCTTAAGCAAGCTTCTTGCCTCAGCCTCCCGAGTAGGTGGGACTACAGGTGCCCAATCACAGTGCCCATCTGTCTAGTTTTTTCTATTCTTGTTTTTTCATTCTTGCTCAGGCTGGTCTTGAACTCCTGAGCTCAAGTGATCCTCCCGCCTCAGCTTCCCAGAGTGCTGGGATTATAGGCATCAGCCACCAAGTCCATAGTTCCATCTATAGACTTGGAAGCCAAACAAACCCTGGCAGGGTTTGGGTTCTTGAGACAGGCAGAGCTTGAGTGCGGACAGGAGCGTACACGCAGTTCTCTCGAGGGCACTTTTGTGTCTTTCTCTTTAATTCATCATCTTGTCTACATCCCTGGGCATGTATCAACCAGAGGGAAGGACAGGTCCTCTCAGGAGATTAGAAGAGTTGCTAACGGGACAGCAGGTAGCTGCTCTTTGAGTGGGGGATCTCCAAGCTCCTTCTAAAAGCAGCATTCAAAAAGGACTGAGAAGGAACCCAGGCAACTATACCTCAAAGAGCTATGCAGAGGCGGCTGTTGTTCTAAGAGACACCTTCCTGGACCCGCACTTCCAGCCCACAGCCAAGTTTAGACACTCACTGGTACAATGTGATGTTTGATTTCTGCCGCTGATCTATGACCTCATCAGGGACTGCAGGCTTGATAATGGAGCGTCGGCCGAGGGTGTCCTGAAGGACCTTCATCAGCCCAGGGCTCTCTGCCTCCTTGTCACCCTCAATCACACCTATCTCAGCACGGCCCCCTCGCTCTCTGTCCCGAATATCCTTTGCCAGAAGCATAGCCTGTCAAAGAAGCCCGAGGAAGCAGTCAGCTCATCTGGGACATTTTTCTGGATTTTGGGAGGAGCTTCCTGGATCCCAGACAGAGGAGCTATTGCAATGCTGAGGAGCCCGGGGCAAGTCACAAACTCACACTTGGCCGGTCTCCAAGACAAACTCTATGCAAAAGCACAGGTCCACCTTGATTTGCAGGCAGCAGCCAACATAGAATTAAGAAGAAAAGGGCACCTCAGGCACTATCAGCCTGTGACCAGCCTGCATGACAGAGGGAAGGACGGAGAGGGGGACAGGAAAGAGCCCTGCCTTCAGACGCTCCCTGCTGTTGCTCTCTGGGCCATTCCACTGGATGAGGACCATCCCCAGGTCCAGCAAGAAGACATCACCTCGGTTAAAACTGTCCCAGCTCATCTCCACCTGCAAATGGGAGGTAAACATTGTCCAGGAGGCATTCTTAGGGGCCAGTGGAGAAGTACTGAGCCTGGGACAGCAGTGGGCAGGACTTACCTCTGTGGCCCTGACGTTTCTCCTCCCCTTCACATGTAACAGCCGCTTCACAGCATAGGTGTTGGTCTCCACGTGCTTCATCCCAGAGGCCACACCCCCCTTCTTGTAGCTGCGGAAACATTCATTCAGTTATTTATTGAGTGTTGCTGTGCTAGGTTCTGGGGAGACAGCTGCGATTGCCTAGATGCAGCCTCTGCCAGTATGGGGCCGACAGTAAGTCAGCAAGGGAAATGCAGGTGGTAGTAGCTTCTGTCCCACAAGTAGACTTGACAGCTGACCTTCTGGAAGAGAGATCAGAGCAGTCTTCTTTCCATGATGGACCCTTGAGCTGAGATACTTACTATGAGGAAAAGGAACCCATAGCTGGGCACGGTGGCTCACGCCTGTAATCCTAGCACTCTGTGAAGTGGAGGCAGGTGGATTGCCTGAGCTCAGGAGCTCAAGGCCACCCTGAGCAAGAGCAAGACCCCGTCTCTACTAAAACTGGAAAAACTGGCTCGGTACCCAGAGCTCAATGGTTAGGGCACTGGCCACATGCATTGGGGCACCGGGGCTGGTGGGTTTGAACCCAGCCCACGCCTGCTAAACAACCCTGACAACAACAACCAAAAAATAGCTGAGTGATGTGGCAGGCACCTGTAGTCCCAGCCACTTGGGAGACTGAGGCAAGAGAATCACTCAAGCCCAAGAGTTTGATGTTGTTGTGAGCTGTGATGCCATAGTGCTCTAC